CCCGCATAACCCATTACAAACTTCTTCTGCAGGCAACATGCCACGTTTAGCCCAGACCCGCTCTTGGTAAGATATTTACTTAAGATAACAAGACTGAGTAGGACTTGGAATTTGCCCTCTTAAGAGATAACAAAAATAAAATTAACGTGAACCAGTAAATGTCACGTTCAGAGCAATAATTTGGAAGGTTTAGGGGATTCTGTAATTTCTTTATATTTTTGTTATCATGTGATCGCGTAACACCATCTGATGACTTTATTTGATGATTTCCATACCTTGATGGCAACGTAACATATATTAAAAACAACAGATACAAAATTACCTTCCTGCCCCAGAAGGTTAACTGCGGCGCCTAGAAGCTTTCCATAGATTATTATTCCCTCATTGACTGTGGTTGGTCTACCTTTTGTGAGTTCTCTTCAAAGGGTTGGGTTCCTGGTACATTTGTGATACAAAGTACTACTTTAAACACTTTGACTTGTGAAAACAACGTTGATAAATAACAAATGGGAACATCAGAAGAAAGGGTGTAAAAAGAAAAAAGGATGGACATCCTGCAGGACTAGGGACGTTGAGATATTTTATTTATAAAATCATGTTTAAATTTTAATCATGGAATGGCTATATGTTTGTTTGAAGTTATTTAAACATTCCCTTCAATATTTAAAGCCATTTTCCCTTGGAGGTTTACTGGAGATGCTAATTATTCCATGTAAAGGAATATTATTATGGCCTTTCGGGGACCAGGAGAAAAACTCGGGGCCTGTCTGGACTTTGAGGTGCCTTTTTGCAGCCATGGGATGGGTTGACTCTGAAATGAATTCCAGCAGGATCTTTTCCCCTGTCCTCTAATACCTGTATTTACATAGCTCATGATTGTGACTAAATTAGGTACTGGAGAGAACTTGGTTGGTTTTTAGGCCACTTAGTTAGTTATGTCTGAGAGAGCAAATATTGCAGCAGCTTATCGAAAAAGAACAAAGGGGTAGAAAATTAAATATACATAGAACATGAAAGGCGATGTCTAATTATGTTTCTGGGTCAGAGTCGGCTATATAAAATTAATTTAAAATTGTGGTGCAGCAAATAATTTCTATCAGAGTCTCAGCGGTTTTTTGTTTGTTTGTTTGTTTGTTTGTTTTGTTTTTTGGGGGGTTTTTTTTTGGTTTTTTTTTTTTTTTTTTTTTTGCTTCAGTTAACGGTATCAGTCGATCACTAGCATGGAAAGGCAGAGGATCTAAAATGGCCAAACTACCTTGAAAAATCAGAAGCAGATTGGAGCACTTACCTTTCCCTCTTTCAAAACGTGCTAGGAGGCTCGGAGAGTAGGGTGCTCATGTGGATAGAAATACAGATGGGTATATAATTAAAGAGCCCAGAAATCAACCCTCCCATTTATGGGCAATGGAGTCCCAGGAATAGTGTCATAACCGTTCAGGGAGGAGAGGCTAGTGTTGTCAGTAGATGGTGCTGACACCACTGGATAAGCATAAAATTAAAAACCTTTGCACTTCAAAAGACACCACTGAGAAAATCAAAAGAGAAGACACAGATGCAGAGAAAAGATTTGCACATCATCTTTCTGGTAAAAGACCTGTCTCTTGAAAATACAAAGGACTCTTACCATTCAATAATAAGGAAAAAAATGAGCTAATTTTTCTAATACGGGCAAAATATTTGAATAGACTTCACGCCAAAGGAGATAATACATGGAGATCATTGACAGGATTAAGTCATTAGCTAAATGAAAATTAAAGCCACAGTAAGGCAGCATCTCACACCCATTAGGATGCCTGTCACTAAAGAGATAATGACAGGTGTTGGGGAGGAGGAGGAGAAATTGGAACTCACATACACGGCTGATGAGGATGCACGGTGAGGCAGCTGATTGGGAAAACAGTCTGGCAGTTTCTTAAACTACTGAACATAAATTGGCCACATGACATAGCCATCCCGCTCCTAGCTATCTCCCCAAGAAATGAAGATATCTGTCCATAAAAAATATTGCACATGAATGTTCACAGACACCAACTGGAAGCAATACAAACGGCGGCCAGCCGATGAGTGGATTAACACAGTATGCTTTATCCACATTGGAGAAGATTATCCATCCATAGGAATAACAAGAATGAAATGCTGATACTTGCTGCAACATGGGTGCTCTTTGAAAACATTACACTACGTGAAAGAAGCAAGACACAAAACAATCACATATTATATGAACTCGTTTATAGGAAATGCTCAGAAATGGCAAATCTGGAAAGAAAGTTGACTGAGTTAAGACAGAAGGTAGGAATGTCACATACCTGCAGTTGGATGCAAGCAGTCTTTTGGGGGTGATTGAATTGTTCTAAAAGCAGATGGTTAGGCTACTCCATAGACAGACTGAAAAAAAAAAATCCTCAAATTCCATGCCTTGATGAGTTGATTTTGTGATTTTTAAGTTGTACCTCAGTAGAGCTCTTAAACATCACAGTTTGGTGGACAAAGGAATTTGGTGAAGAATCAAAGAGTTGACCCTAGATTGCCACTTTAACTGGGTTCTGCAAATTGCTAAGGGATTGTACATCCTTAGAACCTTTCCTTCCTTCTTTGTGGGGGGACATTTCCCTGAACACTGCCTCTCACCCTGCCCCTGGAAGAATTCCCGATTACTCAACTCTCATGCACTGACGGTGAGCCTGAAGGCACTGGGAACTGGGTCTTGGGGAGAGAGCTCTGGCATTGAACTCAGCCCAGACCTTGCAAATAGCCCTTGTTTGGGCTTGAGCCAGACCAGCGTCATGCTCGTGGGCTTCCAGCCACAGCATGGAAGACAAAAGATTTTTACAAGAAGAAAACTCCAAAGGAGGCAGGGATATGAGGACAGCCTCACGGGAAAGGCAGCGTGCAGGTATGGGGTCCTCATCAAAGACCTTCCTCAGTGTTTTCGGGAGGGAGAGGTAGTCCAACCCGAAAGGGGCACGGTTTCTGGGGCGGAATCAGCTTAATCACAGAGACGCTCTCTCTCCCGTAATCCATTCCGTGTCTTTTGACTGCACTTTTATTTTTCTAGCATCGTTTCTTTTTTCATAATGAAAGAGATGACCTGTTTCTATAGGAACTTAGAAAATCCTCCAAAAAAATTTTGAATTTTTTTTTTCAGAAATGAGGACTTGTTTTTAACACAAGCACTTTAGTTCTATCATCTGTAGCCCAGTTCTCTAAGAAAGGCATTTCTTTTAGATTTCTTAACACAATTTAGCCATCAGTCCGGCCCACAAGACAGCTTTGAAAAAGGTATTCTATTAGTAAACCCTGACCCAAACAACCGAAAGACAGTGGAGCTAGCTTGATGAGGATTAAGTTTGTTTCAAGATCTTTCAGTGCTATGGACTTCTTGGACATGAACCGATTTCTGTATGGTGCTGGTAAACGTAACAGATTGACACATCCACGTCATGGTGTTTTCTAAAAGATTGCACGTGAACATGTTGGAAGGAGAAAAGGTGGTCTCCTGGGAGACCCCCATTCTCCCTTCAGGTAGATGAGGTCAAACTAGTGGTATTGCTGGAATTTTCCTGGGTATGTCTTTTCCAAGCTGTTTTCAATGACGTTATGTTGGCAGCTTGAAATTGTCTACAATTTCAGTATTTAATCTCAAATATTTAAATCACCCAAGGTCAACCAGGTCAAGGAATTGGGCTTCCAACTCCTCCACCCTACCAGGATTGCTGACTGAAGCACGTGAAAATGACAGTATTCAACCCTTGACTGAGCCACTTCAAACCTGGTCTGAAAACATATTAAACCTTTTTGACAGATGTGGACTAAAGAATGTTTTCCAGATACAAGTGTTGTGAGTGACAGTGACCAGATTCCCTCTCGGTCTAACCCATGTGTCTGAGCATCACAGAGGCAGGCAGAGACCCGTTTTGATTGATGGCCACAATTCAAGTTATCCACAGCTGGGGTATCCATCCCTGTGGGCTATGTCTGTCTGTAGCAAGAAGGCAATTGAGCTCCTTAACTAAACAGTTCAGGAGGTAGTGAATGTTTTGGCCTCTCGTATCTGCAAAATACAAAAACCAAAATGGCACATTGTGTAGAGAGAGCATGGGGAGTTTGTTGATGGTGGTATTGGTGAAGGGACCCGCCATACACTTTGCCTACGTGGAAATTTCAAAGTGGGTTATGTTTCAGGTCATTCAGGTAGGTGACTCCATTTATTTACTTACTTTTAGAAGTAGCAGTAACATTCAAGTAATATTTAATAAGTGTTTCAAGCACAGGAAAACATGATCTATAATGTTTTATCTCGACTTGTGAAATATTTATTGAAAGTGGTCTTTTTTTTTTTATAAGAGGCAACAGAAACAAATAATGTGCAATAGTTCTTTAGCCACTGGTGACAGGTGAATCTTTAAATTACTGGTATTTCTGAATTTTATTTGAAATGGTTTGCTTTTAAGTTCTTATGCATGAAACGAATGTCAGTTTTAAATACTTTGCTTGAAGTGGTTTCATGTTGATTCTTTGAATGTGTTTCTTCTTATATCATGGAATTTCGTAACCAAAGCGTGTCGCTGACATATCAAAAATGTATCTAGATTATAATCTGTTAAACTTACAGGAACATTTGAATACTTCATATGAATTTCTTTTTAAAATGTGGGAAACCCCTTTTTAATAATTTCATCTTTTTTTTCCAACTCACATTAACGTTTTTTGTTGACAGTAGTGTCATGTTAACCTCCAGACTGCATTTTCACGGATACCTAATATTTTTTGCAAGGAACATTTTGAATTAGTCCTTCTTGACATATTTATGTTTATACGCATTTTGCATCTCGCAAATTCATGTTTTTGAAATCCAAACGTAATCGATTTCAACTTTTTGTATGGCATTATTTTTTTTTCTTTTACTGGGTAGTATCTCTCCTCTGATTTTTTTGCAAACCTGTTGTTTTTGAATTCTCTTTTTTTTCCCCCCTTTATTTTCTTTCTCAATATGACCCCAGGAGCCAACACAAAGAAAAACGCTGATGATATAAGCAGTCATGACCGTGGTGAAGATGAAGGTATTTTTTGGTTTTTTTCCAAGCTCGACTTTGATGCATGATTTTATATCTCTCTTTCTTTTTTTGTTTTTTTTTTTTTTCATTTCAGCCTGTTTTTCCTCCTGTTACCTGAAGTGAGTACACTTTGGTGTGCCTCTTTATTTTATTCTTGTTTGGAAACCACTGTCATTTTTAATCCCAGTGTCCATGTAGATGACTGCAGATCACCTGGGGGAACCTAATATAAATGTTTCTAAACATCAAGTGAATAACGAAATGTCATTTACAAGGAAGCTCACCTTTTACTTTTTCTTTTTCTTTTTTTTTTTCAGTCACAAGAAGACAAAAATGAAATTTTAAAACATGCATGTGTGCTTTCTTTTCTTTCCCCCAAATGTTATTTTGTAATTTAGTATTGTCTTTTGGAGCTTTGGTCTTCTTAATTTCTTCGGTGGACGGTGAGGCACCTCAGGAGAACTTTTTTGAGGGGCTGGCATTTCTGGTTTTGTTTGTTTTTCATTTTGTTTTTTCCCCAAACATACTGATTCCAAAGTAGGATTTTTTCTAAGAATCCTCTCTGGCTCACAGTGAAATACATGAAAAAATGTTTTAATGACATGTTTTTGTGTCTTTCAGAACTGCCTTTTAGCAACATTTAATTTCCAAAAGAGATTATTAGCAAAGAATTGAAAAAGATCAGAAAGCTAGATCCATGCGTCTTTGTTTTCACACCACAGCTGCTTTAAAAAATGGTTTTTTTACCCCCAAAATGTTTAGTTGCTATGGAACCTTTCTTGTTGAAAGATCCCAAATGGTTTGACAGATTATCCACCAGAAGCAGGGTGATTTTTTTTTTTTTTTTTTTGGAGATGGAAGATAACGTGGCGTGAAAGCCACCACTAGCACATTGTATCCATTTCCTTCACCAGAATTAATGGTTTCGAAGAAACGAAAATAAAAAGTCTTAAAATCAGCCGTGGCCGCCCGGGGAGGCTGTGCCGGCCATGTGCGTGGAAAGCACGCCTTCCCCATCGGAGCTGCAGAAGGCGTGGCGCTCCGTGTAGTCACCTTCCCAGGACGAGGGCCCTCTCCTCTGGCTGAAAGGCAGTTTCAAATGGGGGTGAGCGATCCTTGCTGGACAGCAAAACGTCCTGAAAGTGCCTCTTTAACCCTCCCTTCGTTTCCCTGCCCTCTCTGATTTCTTTTGCAAACCAGCAGTTCTCCAGGAAAGCAAGTTTTGCCAGCATTGCTTTCACACCTGGTCTTCTCTCAATGTGACTGTTTATTGACTGATTATTATTATTTTTTTGCATTCATAGGGTCCGCCCTCCCTCTGACAGCCCCGTAAAGGAGGGCTCTCCTCCCTGCCCCTGCGGCATCAGCGAGCCCCTCCTTCCGGGAGGACCACAGCACACCTGCTCTTGTGCCAGTATTCCAGCATCCATCCCCACACACGCCTCCCCTCTGCTCTCTTACACCATCTGCAGATGTCATTCGCACCTGACTCTGCTCTGACATTTCAGTGCCTCCCCTGCTGATCACTACGATCTGTTTACACAATGCTCGCCATGCACCTTGACTACCGTCAGAATGCTGCCTACGTTTCCTTCCATCCCAAGAACCAGTGATGGTTATGTTTTGTTTTTTTTTTAACTTTGAACTCAGACAGCATCTGGTTACTTCCTCCTCACGTCCACAAGAACCTTGTCCTGGCTGTCTCAGAAGGAAAGAGGTGTGTCAACCTCACATTTTCTCTGAGGAAGCCCCTGGAGCAGCCCTCAAGGTCTCGACTTTTTTCCTGGCCTGCCCAGGAGGAGCCAGCAGCCAAGAATGATAAAATAAAGAAGAGCTCGGGGAGAGGGTGTAGCTCAGTGGTAGCGCGCAGACTTGACATGCACGAGGTCCTGGGTTCCATCCCCAGTGCCTCCATTAAAAAAGTAATTCAGTAAGTAAACCTAATTACACACCTCAAAAAAAAAAAGGCTAAAATTGCAAATCACAGTGCTGGATGGTGCAAAATGCCACGCTCTATACACACTGAAGGGACAAGGAGTTTATTTGAAAATTGCACCTAGCATAGGATGAATAAAGGCTTACTAAGGGATTTTGACTCTGTGTTTGAGTTTTATATGAGACAATAGTCCAGATTTTTCTGCTGTGGATTACATGCCTGCAGACACATGGGCAGTTTGACACTTTTTTTCTGTACTTGACTGTGATCGCTTGGGGATGCTGGATAGTGACCGCCCCCCCAGGAGCATGTTTCGAGATGGTGATCCTAATTCATTTTATTACTACCCACCATACAAATGGGGGGTTATTTCCTTAAAATTCCTTTCTGATATGTCCCAAAATATCTCCATGAATTAAAGGGAAAAGAGTTTTTATTTAAGAAAAACGTGAAAATAAATAAATGTACATGGATATATTTGGTTTTTCTTTGGCTAACACATAGACGTTTAAATTACACACACACGCACATAAATATTTGTACATGTACATACATATCCGGACACAATCGTAACTGAAGTAAGGGTTCTGAAACATCAAATGTAAGCCTGAAGGATGGCTAGCATGAAACACATCATTTAATCACAACTTTTCAGAAAGCAGGGTCTGCAAATGGACACACAAGTCTCGAAATTTCTATTGTCACAGGCCATCACAAAATATGGCTTTTACATCATTGTTAAATAAAATAATAATTACTGAGGGTACTCACCGGTTGCAAATCACAGTGGGAGTTTATATTCCCTGTAAAACTATGTAGCATTTCAGTAATGTCATCTTGAGGTTGGAATCTCGTGTCATCTTTATTACTTCTCTTTTTCTTTCTTTTTTTTTTTTTTGGCATTGAGGTGGGATGGTACTGCATGTAAATTAAAGACACTTGCTTGGACGTCTTTGTCTGGTTTTGTTTTTGTTTTGCACATTTCTGTTCTGTTGATCATTTTAAACCACTTATTCATTTTTTTTTTTTGTCGCCATGTGTCCTGTACTGAGAGCTTATGGTTTCCCTAGCACTTTTATGTTCTCATTGACCCCTTGAAAACGAATCTGTAATCCCACCTTTGACGGAGGATGGCAGTCAGAGGGAAAACGAATGATCATTTTGAAGTGGATTTCACACTTACATAGAAGATGCAAATGCGTTTTGTGGTAGATAGCGAGTGCTTGTTCAATTCAGATCACCACCTAGGTCTTGAGGAAGTAAGCATTTCATCTAAATCCTTCCATTTTTAGTGTTGCAGGCACACGCAGAAACATACATATGCATACACATTTCTTCCAACGTCTGCACGCTTCCCAAAACAGCATTCCTATGAGCAGAAGATATCACAACATTGACCGTGTTCCTTAGGCAAGCTTACCAGGGTGTCCATCCTTCAGTAAGGGACACGGTGGATTCCAGTTGAAACTTGGGAGAGTCACCCATGTCCTTCGCCCTTGATTTAAGCATCCGTCCACCAGTGTGATGGCTTTATGGTGTTTCCTTACTTGGCCCTGTTTTCCAGACATCCACAATCAGAACAGTAAGAAGCCAGTGATGGTGTACATCCACGGCGGGTCTTACATGGAAGGCACCGGCAACATGATCGACGGCAGCATCCTGGCCAGCTACGGGAACGTCATCGTGATCACGATGAACTACCGGCTGGGAATCCTGGGTGAGTGACCGCGCCCGTCTCCTCGGTCCGGGCGTTTTATTTTCTGGGCGCTCGTGGGTTCAAACTGTGTTACTCCAGCTCCTCACGTCATGCTGCAAGACGTGTTTCTTCCTTCGCTTCCATGCAGCACGGTCTGTTTTTCCTTGGTTTTTTTTTTTTAAGTTTGCAAATTTTTAACCAAGGAATTTCGTTTCCTGGCCCCCCAGTCTCTTCCCAGACAAAGGCAGCAGCCTCCACGGTCACCCAATGAAAGTGGAATTTTATTGAAAGCCCTTTTCTCTCCCTGCGGGCTGAATGAACGCGTGGGTTAGCCAACGTCAGCCTGTGGAAGGAAGACAGTGTCGGTGACGTGTGAGATAACACGTGTGATCATGGGTGATGGATCACGTGGTCCCAGTCGATAATGACCGCAGATAACTCGCCTTCTTTTGTGGATTTGTAGGTGTGTTCATTAGTTAATCGCCTATTGGAAAATCTTTGACTTAATGCCCCGAAAGGCTTTTTTTGTGTGTTTGTTGTGTCTTGAAAAGGTGCTCAGTGGTTAACGTGGATATTATGTTTGCATGTGGTGGAACTGAACGCTTATTTGAATTTTGTAATTTTATGATTTTTCGTTTCATTTAAATGATACTACTTAAATACTTATTTTTCAAAGTGTATGATTTACGATGAAATTTATTATTTAAATTGTGTGATGCACTTGGCTAAGTGCATACAAATTCAAGATGGGCTCTCTGTTGTCTTGGTGTTAAATTCATTTTCCCCCAACAGAGGTTGGTTGTGAAAAAATAATATATTTTGAGGGTAATATTTTAAGGCTTACCTTCTTTTGTGATCTTCCCTGTCGTCAGGCAGTTCATGAAAAATACTCGAGCCTCTGTAGCAATGTCGTTTTTCAAGGCAAAAATGCATCGAGAAGGTGCAGGAAAATGAGTTTTTAACAGTGTGTCTATGACAGCAAGATGCGTCTGTTACAAGGTGGTTATGGTAAAAAAAAAAAAAAAGGAAAAGAAAAGAAAAAGAAAAATTAAATAAGATGGAGTTGCTTAACAGCCCTGTGTGAAACAACAAATACGGTTGAGAATGTTGTCTTCAAATACACAAATATCACCAAGAATATTTTATGTCCAACTTGACGTTTTGATTTTTTTTCGAGCATCTTTCCTTTCACTCGTGGGAACCTTCGCCCATAGAAGACCTGGCAGGAGGTGAGTTGCAGAAACGCACTTTCTAACTTCGAAATGCAAATCACCCACAGATGTTTACAAACTTGTGCCTCTTGGAGCGCCGATAACGTACTCGAAATCCCCTGTCGGTTTTCAGCATGAAACACAGCAACAGATCCTAGAATCCGAGCCTTCTTGTTGCGTGATTTTTAGCCCTTTATCCCCCTTTTTTCTCGTCGGTGCTAAGAGCCAGATATTTGCAGAATGACCTCACTTTGTTTCCCGTAGCGATGGCTGCATGCCTCGCTGACGGGTTTTCAGAAGCCCATGGCTGCTTGCTTTGGGGACTGGCGTTTGCAACAGGAAATGGTGTTTCTTGATCTTTTACAAAAGGTCCATTCTGAGGCAGAGGTGGGGAGAGGGAGCCACGTACCGGGGCTTGCTGCTCGCAGCCCTTTCAGAGAGGGCGGTGTGGGGACCCCGGTACCGGCACCTGCTCTGGGCGCTGCTGTCTGCAGGAGGCCACGGGCTTTGAGCAAGTTCTGGCTTCGGTGGAATAACAAAATGCACGCCGTGATGACGTGGCTTGAAAGGTTCGATTTCAAAAGAAATTGATCTCTCGCTCCCTCTGAGGCCAAACGGTATGAAACCAGCTTTACCGGGTGATCTCTTATCTGTTGGGCCCTTTGTGAATCTGGGAAGGAACTGGGGTGATTAGACACACCTTCCGTTTTTGTTTTGTTTTGTTATGTTTTTAAGAAAAAAGAAGAAAGCTTGCTTTTAGAACAGGTCTCATTGAAAAATTTTTAGTTTACCTTTTGCTGCTGAGAGTTAAAAAAAAAAACAAACAACTCTTGGTGAGATCAGAGAGGGCTGTGAGAGGCAGGCCTGTGAAATATAAAGAAGCAATTTAGCATCTCCATGCCAGTCTATTAACATTCCGCCAGTAAGTGACTGTGAAGCCCACAGACCCCCTTTCATCAGAGGGAGCAAAGTCTGCCAACTCTGCGGATGATGCTGTGACTCAGAGACTTCTCAAATGTGACTTGACGTTTATCTTCATCAGGGATCTTGCAAACTGTCAGGGGGCACTTTCTGTTTGCTTGCGGGAAATCACTATGTTCACTCTCAAAATATTTTCAAACCATTTTCAAACCATTGGCATCCAGGTTTTTTTTTTTTAATTGTCGTACAGTCAGTTACAATGTGTCGGTTTCTGGGGTACAGTTCAGTGACCCAGCCACGCATGTACATACATGTATTCATTTTCATATTCTTTTTCATTATAGGTTATGACAAGATATTGAATATAGTTCCTTGTGCTCTGCAGAAGAACTCGGTTTTTTCAATCTATTTTTATATGTAGTGGCTAACATTTGTCAATTGCAAACTCCCAAATTTATCCCTTCCCAGCCCCTGTCCCCCAGTAACCATAAGATTGTTTACTACGTCTGTGAGTCTGTTTCTGTTTTGTAGATGAGTTTATGAATGTCCCCTTTTTTCTTTTTTTTAGTGACATATGAGTGATACCATATGGTATTTTTCTTTCTCTTTCTGGCTTACTTCACTTAGAATAATGATCTCCAGGTCCATCCATGTCGCTGCAAATGGCATTCTTTTATTCTTTTTTATGGCTGAGTAGTATTCCATTGTATCAATAATCACACAACTTCTTTTTTTAATTGAAGTTTACTTGATTTATTTGTTGTGTGTGTGTGTGTGTGTGTATATATATACACACACACACACACACAAATATACTTTTTTTATCTTAGGTTATTACAAGATATTAAATACACTTCCCTGTGCTCTACACTAGAACCTTCCTGTTTATCTATTTTATATATAGTAGTGTGTGTCTGTTAATCCCAAACTCCTAATTTATCCCTCCTCCTTCCCAATTTTGGTAACCGTAAGTCTCTTTTCAGTGTCTGTGAGTCTGCTTCTGTTTTGTAAATAAGTTCATCTGTATCATATTTTAGATTCCACGTATAAGTGATATCATATGGCATTTGTCTTTCTCTGTCTGGGTAACTTCACTTAATATGATCATCTCTAGGTCCATCCATGCTCCTGCGAATGGCATAATTTCATTCTTCCTTACAGCTGAGCAGTAAGAAATCCCATTCTGTATATTTACACATGCACACATAGTTGTTTGAGTTTTTCCTTCTGAAAGTAAGACACGCCTAGGTGCTATTTTTCTGCCTCAGGTGTGGAAAAGCATCGTTGCAGGTTAGCACTATTTTTTTTTTTTAACAGAGGAACATATGCTATTTTCCCACCCAAAAGAGAGGCTGGGAATGATGAGTGACGGCGGGAAGAGAGGCTGGAGGAGGCTGGCGTGGAAAGAGCACAGATTTTAGAATGAGATAAACATGAGCTAGAATCTTCCCGCTACCCCGCGTCTGGCGTGTGACACTGAAAAAGTCAGCTCACTTCTTCTGAGTGTCTATAAATGGTGCTTCTAGTCTCTCCCCCTGCAAGGTTGTTGTCCCTACACTGTAAACACCCATTGGATTTGTGTCCGTAAGTGAAGTTTCAGCTCCCAGCACTAGGAACCAGTAAACCCAGTCGCTTTAACATCTCTATTGTGATGTAAATCACTTGGGTATCTTATTAACATCACTGTGCAGCCACTGGAAAATTTTGCATCCGGCCAAAAACATAATGGAATCTCTTTCCAATACCACCATCTAAACGGAACCACCCGAACTCAACAAAAATAATAAGATGCTCGTAGTCTGAGGTCAGGGGCAGGGTCTTCACACTTGCTTTTTGGACTATGAATATGTCCTTTAATCGGAACTGGGTCACACAGCCTTGCTAGCATATAACGTATTGCCTCATACAGGACCCTCTGAGGATCGTTAATAAGACATAGATAAACTAGGATTGTCCCAAGCAGACTGGGCTGTACCGTCATACCTATAAAGTAATTATTTATACCCACATAAGGGCCAATGAATTAACAGGTGTTTAGTTTCAAAGGAGATGCTCTTTTAAAAGCATATTTCCTTTGTATTCTGCTGCATACCTTTATCAATTAAAAAAAAGCGTATGGAGGCAAAACTTGACTTCTATCAAATCTACCTCTATTTCTTTTCAGAATGATTGTTCAAAGACCTTTGCTGTGAAAGAGAAACCTCCTTGCTGAGGGTTACGGAAGGGATTTAGATAAATCCCTTTAGATCTGTAGGTGGGTCTTACCTTCACTTGTGTGCAATTTGCATGCCTTTCCATCTTCAGCAGGTGAATTCTGCCTCCATCCAAATGTGCATCTGAGTGTCGCTCACAAGGTGTGTACCCTTTCTGGTTTTCCTGTGATCTGATGCCTCCGGCAGGCTTTTATTATTTTGCTTCAAAAGAGTCTTCATCTACATGCTTTTAGGGCCAGACTCGTGGAGAGCCTGCGTTATGTTCAGCGGTGCCTCCCACGGGGCTTCCTCCGCTGAATCCTCATAAGAAGGGATGGCTTCTCTTACCTTGGAGGAAGCAGAGGCTCAGAGGTGACAGTGTTGACTCCCAGGGACATTGCTTATGGGGGTTCGAGTCGGGACTGGACCCTGGTCTACGAGTGTGAATCAGGGGCACTACAACATGACTTAGGGAACAGAATGCCATTCTCGCATCAGATTCAGCTTCCAGAATCCCCCCGAACAGTGTCAAACTGTGGTCGATCTAGATACAAAATTGTGATTCAATGTTTACAATGTGTCTTTAATGTTTAAAGCAGGTCCTTGAGAGCTGATGCACTTTTTCATCAAAGCATCACAGATCATCCACAGTGGTCCAAGGAGGTGTGCTATCAGCCCCAAGGACGACAATTGCCCC